ATGCGGGCCGGGGGGTGGTGGCGGGCCGGCCCGCTATTTGGCCCGGCGGGCTTGGCAGGGCGGGCTTGACGGGTTGGCGGGTTGAAATAGTTGGCCCGGCCAGCCAATTTTTGACGGGCCAACGGGCCGGCCCGCGGGCCATGGCCCACTTTGCCATCCCTAGAAAATATATTAAAAAAAACTAAACTTATAATCAAAGAAAATAATAACCAAATCTATAAATTAAAGAAAATAATAAAAACTAAGCTTGTAAAATAATATAAATAAATTTATATTGGTTGATTATTTTGGTACATTTAAGTTTTTTTTGGTACATATGATCGGTTCTAACTGGTTTATCAGAACTGGATAATTAATAAGTTATAGGTTCTGTTAATCTTTTGAAATATAATAATATATGATAATGAAATTTAATTGTTTAAATTACTCTATTGTTTCGCTTCTAATCCTATTCCTAAATCCTAATGACTTATTTCTTATAAGTTAATATTAGTTGTTTGAAAGTTTATATTAATGAGTTAATTACAATAAAGTATCAATTTTTTATTTGATAAATCAATGGTATATTTGTTTATTGGCTGGAATTAAATTTAGTATAAAAAAAATTTACACGAACTCATGCACCTTACTTCAATTAAGTGATTTGGACTCCTTAGTTTATAAAATCGACAGTTTACTAGTGGTTTACATCGTTAATAAATACATAAATAATTCTTTAGATATCAAATAATAAATACACTAAATTTTTAACAACACGAAAGTTAAACTAGAAAAACGACCCTCTCCGTTAAGCTTTCTTAGTTTATACTTTATATTCACAGCTTGAGTCCTGACTATAGATTGGGAAACTTGAATAGAAAAATAAACGTTATTGGAGTGCTTGTTTGTCTCTAACAAAACTTCTGCAAAAAGACCCCCTTTATTACCGTGTTGAAACTTGAAAGTACATTCGAAAATACGTAACCACACTATCAGCAGAAATACAAACATTCGGGGAGCAATCATACCAAACAGCATAGAATCATCCAATTTTACCACAATAAAGCTCGTAACATGAAATAAATAAATCGAAAACATAGTATTTGATATTATTTCTATTCCTTTTACCATCTTCCATACATGTATAATAACTAAATGCCAATAAATTGACTTGAAAACAGAATGATAAAAAATTTAGGGAGGGAAATTACTCAACATTCCTATTCTATTTACATGTTATTACAGCTAAAACGAGCTCCGCAAATCCCTTTACACCTTGAAAATGTGGCGATCCGATTCAACTGCCAGTAATTGAAGAATTCATATTAGTTTATTAACAAATGAAAAAGAATGCTGCACAAGCTGCAGCAAAAAAATATATGATTGATCTAGTAATATCAAAAATCAATAGCGAGATTCCACAACAATGGTAAACTCACCAGAACCACGTCACCGCCTTTGATGAGCGTGTTCCAAGCGAGGCCATTATTTGAGAAGCAGGGAGGAAAGTACATGCAACCAAACAATAATTAAGCCTCGAGAGTAAACCCTGATTCATCATATTAACATACAGGGCCGGGTTGGTTTGTTCCAGAAACTCATGATAAATCAAAGGATCCCTGGCCTTCATTGATTGCATAAAGTAGCTTCTTGTACATAATTTCCTGTTTCAAAATGTAAATCAAAGATCAGGCACCAGAAGAAGCTTTGCATGCGTAATTATATAACCAACAACGCTTTGCAATGTTCTACCTTGGTAGAATAAGGAGGAAGCTTCAGGTAATTTGCACAAGTCATCACACTTGGCAAGTCATCGTCAGCCGATTCTGAAGGCCCATTCCCATTCGATGAAACATTAGCTGCACTTGACGAAAGCTGCACCCAGACCATGTAAATGTATTAATTAACGTTGCATTTTGGTTCCCCCCCCCCCCCCCCAAAAAAACACACACGAAAGGATGTAAACAGGATAACTAAAGGAATGCAATATTCATTTCTTTTAGGTTCACAGGACAAAATAAATCTAGTGCATATCACAATACATCTATTCAGCCAGGCAGCAAATCCATGCACATCGTGTTACTTAAGAAATGTTTAAAAATATCTTCAAAAAAGAGCTGCAGTAACACTGTTAATGACCAAAGTTCAAATAGCAGAGGATCATCCCCCAAAACACAAAAAAACACTTCCAAGTTTTAAGTTTTTAATAATAAATGTGTGTGCAAAAATTATGTGAATACATGAATGAACTAGAACAAAAGTAACGAGATAAAAAATATTTTTCAAATACCTTCCTCACTATAGTTAGTTTTGGATTTAGAACTGCCAGTCCACCAGGTGGCAGCCTAGGTGCACCAGTAACAAATTGACAGAAGGCACGCTGCTGCTCTGGTGTGAATTCTCCCATAATTTCAAGCAACTGAAAATAGTATCATACAGGATGAGCATCAAATATAACAAGCCTAAATATCCAATGAAACAATTTTTCTACTACAAAAAAAAAAGCATACATTAACTATGGCAGGGCTCTTGGCAGTGTAACCATGGTCAAATTTTATATGATCCGCCAGTGTCTCAGTCTGCAGAAACATTAATTTATGACTACATTAGTCACGGTAACAATTCAAATATTGTTAGCAGCAGTAATACATTTGCATAAAAAAGATTACCTTCCACAATTCTCTACGGCCACAAAGCAGGTAATCCAGTTCTTGGGGAGTAAAAATTTGTAAAGATGAGATGTCAAAAACCTGAATTGACAGGCACAAGTATGCAAGTGAAACACGTTCAGTTTAAGGACTCAAATAAATGAACAAATATCCAACAAGTATTCCAAGTTCCAACAATTGTCCAGCAAATATCCTCCACATGGAAGGCTAGCAGCTCATTTCACAAATTTGTCGAATTCTAACATTATATAAATGAATAACCGGCATCAATGAAAAAAAAAATTACATTTATCAGATACAAGATTTGGGTTTTTACTGCACCTCACTTAAGGGTGATACAAGGTTGGTAGAAAACTTGGCTTAAAGTAAAAGGCAAGGATAAACATTTCATAATTTCTTAATTGATAATCCGAGATTCAGGCTATATATGCAGTTAACTGCTCAAGAAATAACCAAAAGTCATAATTTTCAGTAGAAAAAAATGACCCTATGAATCTAAACAAGAATCCAGAAGCTGAAGGATAAAGCTCAATATTATCAAGTTAAACCCCAGCCAGGTTTACTTTTCAATTAAAGGTTTGGGAGAAACAAGAAAAGGAATGAATCATGTGTAAATAAAAGACAGACGACCATGTTATTTCAGAACTTTCTAATCACAGTTGAAAAAGATGCATTACAATATAGCCAAGAGCCTACACAACATCAGCAAACAAGGTGCACACCAAAAGTTACAAGAATTAATTAAGATCAGCATATAACCTGATTGAACCCTGCTCTAAATCCTTCCATTTGACGCATGATTCCAGTCTTAACAGTTGCATCAACCACCATTGATATGTATTCCTCTAGATTATTGATGTCAACCTGAAAGTTTGGCAGCAAGTTCAAAGGAATTTTCATAACAGACTATCAGAACCAAAACTAAAAAGCCAGGAAAATAAACAGACTGAATACATACAATTTTATCTCCAGGTTTCAAGATGTAATCTGGATAACCAGGAAGTGTGAAGTCCAAGCAGATATCTTCAATTGGGGCCCCACGAAAATGCAAATTAGCAATTGTATCAGTATCGCTACCACCAATAGATTCTATATAACGCTTCCGGCAAACAAGGGCATTAAACTCTTGTAAAGTTTTCCCAAGCTCAGCATCAATGAAAAGAATGTCATGCAAATCAAGCTCCTGCAGTATATCAAAGGCTAAATATAAACAGACTAAAATCAACCTTAAGATAAACTATAAACATGAAATCAGACAAGACACCTTAACATCAACATTTCATAACTTACTTGACCAAGAATAAGCTTATAAAGCGCCATTGACAATGGTAAATCCAATAGGCGTCCATCTTGAAGAGCTTTAGCCATTACACGGCCTAATAGCCGGAAATATTCGATCACTTTAGAAAATTGAGTACCCTCAGATGCATCAACATTTGCAGGCCAAGGTCGAGGAAACAACCCAAGAGGAGCTTGAACAAGTTCTCCATCTCCAACAAAAGAGCCTTCACTACTTTTCATTTTCTTTTCATCTCCATCAACTTCCATTTCATATTTCTCTGAAGAACCTGATCTCCACATTTGATGTACAACTTTTTGTAAGTCATGACTGAGAAGTGTGTAGAACTCCAGAGTGGGACCCAGACCAGTGCCAACTTCACCAAAATATTCTACTTCAAGTACAGCTTTTTGACTAGAATACAACTCCATCACTTTAGCAGCAGAATCCAAAATACGATTTCGAGAGACACGAACCTTTTGGCGCTGCAATCTCCCAACCCTGATCTCTCTTTCATTTGTTAATCCATGACCATCAGCACCCTGCTGCTGCTGAAGGCGATACAGTGCACGAGATAGCCCAAAGGCAGTTGAATAGAAGTACTGTCGCCGTGTCTCAAAAGGAAACAAAAAAGGGCATGCCTTAGTTAACTGGTAACACCATGAGGGAAGACTCCCACTGCACAAGGCAAGGGCATCTTGTATTTGCCTAGCTAATTTTGGAGTAAGTTTGCTGCTTATAAATTCCTCTGCAGGAACCCTAGCACTGCTGGTAACACTTAGTTCATCTAAATCCAAAATTTTCCCCTCTGCAAAGTTATCAGTAATCACTTGGGCCCTCAAACGAGATGCAAGTTGGTTCAGGCCCTCTAGCACCCGCAATAATGCCAATATATTGTATGTAGGATTAGATTTCTCCAGTTCACAGGGCAATTCTCCCTGCAAGATACTATCTAATACAGATATCTGATGTAGCTTGCCTTCAGAACTAGAATTCAATGCAGAACCAGATTTGCCAGACTTTGAAGCATTAGAGTTTGAACCTCCAGGGGGAGCCCTATCAGTTTGGTTCTCTGCCCTCTGATAAGTTATAGTATAAATATCACCCCACAACCTACTTCCATCACTGGATACATAGTCACTACTACCAGCAAATCTCTCATCATCATCTTCATCTAGCACAAGCTGTCGTTGAATTGCCTGATATATAGTCAAATGCCTATTAAGCTGCTTCCCACTAGCAGTAAAGATCAACTTTGGAGGATCATTAGAACTACCAAACAAAGGACGCCCTAGTCGATCTCTTCCACCCCTGAAGCCTCTGCTATTGGCAGATCCAAGTCCAGCCATGGCAGCAGCAGCAAATGACATTGCACCTCTTGAGCTTGAAGTATAGCCACTCCTAAAATCAGCAGAGTCTGAACCCCTGACTGTACCAGCCTTGCTGCTAGAACCTGAGGCGGCATTAGTCGGACCATCACTTGTTGCAGGAGCTACAGCACTCTCTTCAGCTAAATCGCCCAATTTCACATCATGTACTTTGTCAGGTGAGCAAACAGGAAGCGAATCATCCCTCAGTACCTGCATGAGAAGAATGAAAACAAGCACAAAATTTGTCAGCATAGATAAGTGAATTTAATTATAATGTTCAATTAGTTAATCCAACTATCAGTTGGGGGTATCCTCGGTTCACTCCAAAACAAAATTATAATGTTCAATCTTGATTAACAACAATGATGGTAGCAACAATTAAATATTTGTAATCAAAACACTAGGATTGAGCTAGTGATAAGAGGAGTGGATAGTTTGCATCTGGTCATGAACTCTAGTTTCATTGCCACCATTGAACCCGGAAAAAAAAAATAGAAGACAAAAATGATAGAAAGACAGAAACATTTCAAATTGAAAAAAATTGTAAACAACATAGAAGGACACCAGTACTGGTAGTAAAAATAACTACACACATAGAGTAACATATCAAAAGCAATGTTAAACATGAGGATAAAGAAATGATGTCAGAAAAACAAAAGACAGTAAAACAGTATCTACTTGAACATACATCTTCTTGGTCATCATCATCTTCATCATCAGAAATATCATCATCTTCAATCACCAATGCCTCGTCAATCTCAACAGGAGATATATCCAAATCTTCATCCTGCATTACATTGGAAAATGTCAATAGAAGGGTAAAAAAAAAAGAAGGAAAAAAAACCTAAGGCTAATATTTTGATACTCCAGGATACTTGGATTAAGTTCATGATTTAGTCAAAAGCAGACCAGGAAAAAAAAAAAAGATGAGCTTTGCACCCAAGTTATGCCCTACACATGGTATATAGCATATGTGTGCATTGTATTTTGTAATAAAAATCCTACTACCAGTTTAACAACCACAATAACAAACCTAGCTACACAACATTTAGCAAACATTTAAAAGATGCCATAAACGAAAGCAATAAAAACCAAAACAAAAATGTATCACCTGGGTAGGAACAATACATAACTGATAACTCCACTAAAAAAAATCCAAATTATTACCCAACGAGAGTAATACAAATTACAAACCTACATATTCATAATTGACAAGTTCAATGTTAGAATAACATAATCATATATGTATATTAATCAATTGACTTTTTAGTGGCACCATACAAAAAAATCCTGACACGTGCACTTTATGATAGAAGGATGAGCATTGTTTCTACAATGCAAGATTATAAGTTCTCATCAGTGCTGGCTCAGCTTCAATTTAGTAACTCAACACTTTTGCAGGGAATTCCAACAGGAGCTTAATTCTAATGTACATAAAGAAACCAATGTTGCAAAAAAAAAAAACAAACAAATAAGCAAAAAAAACAAAAAAAAAAACTATTCAACACAAAAATCAAAAGAGCACCTAGGCAGTGTTTCTTAAATAAAATAAGAGATGATATCTTAATAAATAATTATAATCAAAAGCCATTCATAAAACTAAATAAATGGCCGAGGTAAAACACTTTAAGGATCTACAGACAACAAAATCCGGCATGTCCAAAGTTACAGATATAGAGAAATTTCATATGTCTTTTCAAGCTTGCTATGCAAAATGTAATGAAGCATCTTTGCATCTTATATTGGCACTATAAAGTATTCTCCTTATATTAGCCATCCAACATAAACTAAACAGTTGGAAGTTATAATTTAACAGAAGAAAGAAATTGTAGCATTGTGAATTCATCTGTAGGATTTCACATTATACCTCGGAAGTAGAGTCACCATTTACAGGATTTATCTGTGCATCTTTATCAAGAGCTGCTCTTCTGCGAGTAGCATTCCTGGTTTGAGGTCCTCTTGCCTCCTCTTGTGCAGGCTTTAATACAGCTTTTCCCTTGCCCTTAGAAGAGCTTGTGCTTTTATCTTGAGCAATTTCTTTTCTGGATGTATCACCTATATTAACAGATGATCTGGATCTAGTAGAATGGCGACGGGTAGTGGAAGGAGAGGATACCCCAGCTCCTGCAGGAGTTGTCCCAGATTCAGAATTTCCAGCAGGTACAGTGGACTTCTGACCAGATTCACTTCGTTGGATACGAGGCCAAAGAAATTCCTCAATGGCTGCTAAACTTGCTAACGGATCAACCAGTACAACATTGGATGAATAATCCCTAAGTGACTTATCACCCTGGGCTCGACAAAGCCGCAACTTGAACGGCTGAGATAATGCACTTAGTCCAGAGGAGAGGCGTGCACTCCCACTGGATGACCTAGATGAATGACTCAGCACAACAGGGAAACGCTCCAAGGAGGACAAAGCATTTTGAAGCTTCTGGACCAAAACAGACATAGGAGTCACGGTCCCATACTCAGTAGAGGAAGGTAGCGCAACAGCTATAAATAACTTAAACCTTGTAAGCGCTTGTTGGCGAAGCTTGGGAAGGTGGGTTTCCGAGGGTCGATCTTTAGAGAAATACCCGCAAGAAAAATAATTCAACAAAGCTGCAACAACACCACTACCAATAAATTCAAAAGTAGATACACCATCTCCTTTGCCAAGCTCCTTTAGCATGTCAGCTATGACCCCTATTAAATATTCTTCCTGACCAAATCCAGAAGTTTTAGATTTCCCCTTTCCATTAGTCCTATGATCATCAGCACCAGCATTTAACTTCATGCAAAGATTTTTCAGATGCAAAAGATCTTCAGTAATACCCACTTCAGCAGCCCCAGGATCTGAAGGAAAGTACTTATCTTTAAAAGCTTTAGCAGCTGTACTAACAGATAACCGAATACTAGTATTTACTGTTGGAATATCCACAGTACTGGGAGGTGAACCAACATTAACCAAAACCGGAGCCTTTGAATCATCCAAAGGATTTCCTTCAGGATTGGAATTCCCACTGCGCCGCCGATAACGCCTAGACCGAGACGATGCTCCAGATATAGAATCATTATCCTTCTCAGCAGAAGATGCCTGTGTAGAGATACTGGTTGAATTCCCGGCTAAAATAAGTTGGTCCACTGCATGCACAACACCTTCTCTAATGAACATCTTGGAGAATGTCCCAGGAAGCTTTTCCATAAGAATTTCAGCAATTTTCAAGGCAGGAACCAAAACGTGTGGATCTTTCCATGCTAGGACACCAGCTAAGAAACTATATGATCAAAGTGACAATGCATAAATTTTCTAAACCCATAAAATCAGTGCAGATATCAAGCAATATCAACCCTATTAAACAGCTAGATACCTTGATACATTTGTCACACTCAACAAAGACTGGATCATCTCTGCTGTGCTGAAATACATCAATTTTCCAATGACAGAAAGACATTTGTGCCGAACAGGACCATTGACACTAGAACCATATATCTATCAAAAGCAAGCAGATACCATCAATTAACTAAAAAAGACAAATAAGGAAGCAAAGGAGCAATTTATTAGAACAATTTTCCACTTAACAAATTTATGAAGCAAAATTTAAGCATTTGATCTCAATGCAACAAATGTCAACCTGTATTAAAACTGGGAGGAGATCCATCGCAAATTGCTTAAGTAGTTCAGGCTGATCATTTAATAGTTTCTCCCGAGCCGATATCTCAGGAACATTTCCATTTGTGTCTTCTTGTTTCCCAGAGCTACCAGCAGGAGACTTTCTTACAATTGGCCCTTTCAAAAACATGTTGGAGATGATAGGGAGAGAAATTGTTCCGTGTGGCAATGGAGGCAGAAGCTCATTTGCCAGGTTTACAATCTCATATATCTATATATATATTATTAGAACAGAGAATTAGAATAATTTCATCTCTTCACATTTGTAAGAAAACTGAATATCAAGGGTCTATGTAATGATGAATTTAAGGTCACAGTCTGTTTAATGAACCATTGTGAGATATTACTACACATAAATGACCAATCCAAAATAAGAGTTATGAAGTTATGCTATACCTGCTCTGGTGGCCTACTTAATGCAGGAGAAACAGAGGCATTAGAAGAAACTCCGGAACCAGATAGAATATCTTTGAGAATACCACTAATTCCGAGAAGTAGCAAAGTTTTAGCTCCAAGAGGGGATCCACTCGCACAAGTTGAAAGGAGTCGGATTAATCCCTGCATATGCCCAAGTCAAGGACCAACAACTACAGGCAAAATGCATCTGTTTTAAAGCAGAAATTGCACTTACGGTATATGTTGGTGTGCTGAGAGAAGCCTGACCACCTCCAGAACTGCTGTTGGAAATGAGGGAGGCAGCTTGTGTTACCAGTCCATGGTTGCACAGTTCATCTAATTTGTCTGGAGATGATGCAAATGCTTCAGCTATTCGAGTCAAACAAACAGATGCATGCTCCAGAACCTACAAATATTGATAATGCATAACGTGAATATGCAGATAAATAATTTTAACAACGGGCTATAGGGGTCAAAATGTTCCTCCTCTCAAACTGAACTTCCTTGAAAGGTAAATTTATGGGCGTAGAAAGGAAAATACAGTTTCAAATTACATGACTAGACTAACAAAAAAACATGACCTTACCTTGGAATCATGGTACTGAAGAAGGTTAGTCAGCAGAGGAACAGCTTCCATCACAAAATCAGCTGCATCTGAAGGAAGCTTCTTGCACATATTTGCAGCGGTAGACAAAGCAACACGCTGAAACAAAGAATTATGTCAGGATAAAATTTTTCACTAAAGGCACCTATGTCCAAATGAATTATGACTGTCCTAGAGGACCAAAACCATAATAATCCACTAAATGAAGATACTTCACCGAATATGTACCTGAACTCCTGTTGAAAAGAAGTCCAAATAAGAAAGGACGGCCATAAGAGCACCTGCTCGTAGGCAGGCAGTGGGGTGCTCTTGAGATATCTTCTTTAGAGCTTGAAGAGACTGTTCAAATCATCAACCACAGTAGTCAAATAATAAGAATGTCATTCCAAAATGCTTGGTCCTTGAAAAAAATGCATAAGCTTATTTTTAATTGTTTTGGAGAAACTAAATGAAAGAGCTTCTACAAATTAGCCTGTGCATAAGCTAATTTCAACTAATGTAGAATAATATTTCATTTTTCCTTCCTACTTTTTCCTCTAGAAGTGTTTATTGAGAAGTTTATCCAATTAGGCCCTAAGGAACATTATATAAAGTTCAAAAAACAATTAAACACCAGCAGAACTCAACATGGAAACGCATCACATTCGTTCTAACTTCACACAATTGACATGAGTTAAGCACCAACCTGTTCAGCCAAATCCATGTACTCTATGGTGAGCAACCTGGCACAGAAGATTGACACTGCACCATAATGCACAACAGCAGCACAAGATGACGGAAGCACATCACATAAATGAGTTAACGCTCTGGCCGCAAGAAGCATTATGTCGGGATTGCTCTCGTGATTCAACAACCCCACAAGCACGGGAACAAAGGCATCAACAGAGAACGTACTAAGCGATTCCTCGGTTCCAATTGAAAGCATTTCACACAGCTGCGTCAATGCTTCAACCTGCCTCCCTTCTTCACTATCAGCCCTCAACCCAAACAGGATCTTCTTCAGCCTCCCACTCTGATGAGAGGAAGACGCAGAACCCATAGCCGAAGACGGAAGCAGATCATCCAAACCTGCACCAAGCTTTCTAAGAAGCCCCTGAAGTGCACTACTCGCGGAAGACAAATTCTGGTGCAAAATTCCAACACCACCCTCGCTGTCGTTATCGTCATCCTCGCCAACGTCCATGTTCAAAGCCAACCCTCGGTCCGAATCCCTATCCCTAATTCTAACATCATGCTCTTTCTCCTTACCCTTATCGGAATTTTCCTTGTTGCGGCGATCACGGCGCGAAGCAGAGGATTCATTTGTAGGGTCCATGGGAGGGAGATTCTTGGGAGGTGCGGGCTCCTTAGGTTTAGATGGACGGGAACGAGTGTTGACGGAAGAAAGAGAGGCGGCGGTGGCGGTGGAAGAAGAAGAGAGACGCGCGCGCTTGCTGGAGCGAGTGGTGGGACCAGAGGAAGATGATGAAGGGGCAGTTGAGGAAGCCTCCGCCCGCTTCCGGCTCCGAGTTTCCATACAAAATCCACCCAACCCGCAATCTGTCAACTCGCTCGCCGCCGAGCGTCAATCACGCGAGAATCCCTAACATGGATCGAATCTTTGTTGAGTCGAACGAATCAATTGGAAACCCTAGATATTGTAGGGGAGGGGATTGCGCGTGTTTGGAAGGAGGCGTTGAGTGAGATTTCTGAATAAACAGAAAGATTTTGAGACATTAAAGATAGGGATTTTCTTTGTTGCCGGAAAACCCTAAGCCAGGGAAAGGGGAAGAAAGAAGGAATAAAGAGACAGAACAAAATGAATCTTTTATATGTAACTTTCTTTGCCTTTTCTATTATTTATTTTTTTTTTTTAATTTGTTCCATGCATTAGTCACTTTCGCTCTTCCCAAACTGAACAACTAGCTACGCTCCTGGGTGGCACTGTTGCACTTGCACTGTGGCCTTTGCTGCTCCATCCACCCCACCCTCGCTCAGAGCAAAAATATCATTTTATGAATATATTCCAATTTTAAAGTTTTTTTTCTTCTAAATATCTTTCACAATTTTTAAAAAGTATGTTAAAATCTAGTCATAAAATATGTTGGTATTAAAGACAGATGAATTTTCTCGGCTTAAAAATAATTTAAATTATATTATAATTTGTTGTGGTAATATCATTATAAAAATATCATAAATATTCTCAAGATTTTGTTGATCAGGCTAATAATTCTTGACATGAAAATAAATTATTAAATATTTGTCATATTTTTAAAAATTATGATCATTAAAATATTTACATTTTTTAATTTTAAATTATATTTTACAATTTTAAAATTGAAATTTTCATTTTTATTTAAATCATGGTCGAGTAAATGTTAACAGGTATATTATTGCATAATTTTTTCATTAAAAGATTGTTATTCTAAATCTTTTAATTATTTTGAACGAATTTCATTTTTAATATTATTAATTAGTAATCAACTTTGGTTAATTAAATGGTTATAATTTAAATTTTAACTTTTTTAAATGTAAAAAACTTAAGTTGGGAGGGAATATCCACTTATTTGATGAAATATGTCAAACTCTAAGAGTATGTTTGGATGAGAAATTTTAATGGAGTGATTCATTTATTTGAAGAATTTCAAATTCTTTGAGGTGAAATACTTTGTTTGGATAGAGAATTTACAAAGAATTTGAAATCCAAGCATTTGAAAAATTCTTTGAAATAGTAGAATTTCAAATTCTCTCAAAAAGGTAAGAATTTGAAATTCCTAATATTTTTTTTCTCTTATTTCACTTATATATTTTATCTTATATCTTCATATTTTTAACTATTGAATATTCAAAAATACTTTAAAAATTATTAAATATTATCTAATATTAATTTTTAAAATTATTAAATATTTAAAAATTGGTTAATATTTATTTTTATAAAATTTTATTTAAAAATCTCAGCATATAAATATTTTTAAAATCAATTTTATCATGATATAATCAAATTATCATATCCAAATTAGCAATTTTAAATTTTAAAAAAATTGAATTGACTTATCCAAATAAAATATTTTAACAATGATAGAAATTGAAATCAAAGTAATTCAAATACCAAGAATTTCAAATTCCTTGAATTTGTAAAATTCTTCATCCAAACACACCATAAGAAAAATCATTCATGTGTTTAATGGACAATACTCCTTGACAATGAAAAAAAAATATTATTAATTAATAATTAATAAATATTATAATTTTGAGCAAACTCAAAAGCATGAATATATGTCAATACATAAAAGACTATATGTAGAAAAATATTATTTAAAAGGATATGAAAGTAAATCAATTATCTATTAAAAGATTGAAAAAGTCGTATAATTTTGTTTATTCAATTCTTATCATTTATGTAGTTTTTTTTTATCAATTGTATTATTTTTTAAAAACTTATCTTTTTCCATTTAAATCTTATAAAACCCTTCTAAATTTTAGAGTTTCTTATGATACAAATCTATTAAAATTCAAATTATAGAATTTTGATTATAAAAATCATTAAAAAAATAGAAATTATTATTTATTACGTAGTCTTTTAAAATTTATAAGATTTTTTTATGATAAAATAGTCTTTTAAAATTTCAATACAACACTTTTAAAAGTCTTTATTAAAGTAATATTTAGATATTCATGAATATTATTTAATTATAATTTTTTAAATTGCATAGAACATGTCTATAAAAAAAATACATTTATTTTCTCTTATATTTTACTTTTATACCATTTTTCTCTTTTTATTTTTTATCAGATTGCTTATCATTTCTATTACTTTATCTTTTTCTTTTCTTTTTACCTTTATATTATTTTTTTCCTTAATTAATTTTAAAGTAATTAAAAATAGCTAAAATATAATATTATTAAAATATATCTCTTATACTTAATTGAAAAGTATTATTATTCAAAATTTAAATTAAATAGAAACATATTTATAATATAAAAATATCTTATTTATAAATAAATTTAAATTATTAAGTCAAATTGATATCATTTTCTAGGTAAAGAAAAATTATATTGATTTGATCTCAAGGTAAGGGATACATGGAGGACGCTCATAGTTGTGGAAACCACAGAGCCAATGGCTCATATTGTTTAAGATTCAAAATTCTTTTACGAATTGGTTATTATTAATTTAGTTATTTGATGATTAAAAAAAAACTATGACATGCCATATTTTGTACTATCATTTTTTTTTTACTAATATTACATAGTCTTAAAGTGCGTGTATAAGTATTATTTTAAAACTTTAAGTGTTTAAGTTTGTGAAAAAAAAATTAGAAAAATATATCGCACATATTTTATACTCCATCTCCGTCTCCCTAAAAAAATGCTATTAAAATCGGTATAAAGTCTTTTTTTACACCTAAAATCAGTATAAAGTTGAAATCTTTAAGTGTGTCCGGAGAATTTTCTTTTTCCAACTTTAAACTGATTTTACAAAAAAAAAATGAAATAAGTTGGTTATTTGAGAAAAAAAATCAAAACTTGTAACATTAATTAAAAAAAAACTAGCTATTTTAATAAATTTGAACTATGAATTTGTGATTATTTTTTAACAAATTTTATTCTTAACATTGAATTACTGTATAAAAACTAAATTTTGTTGTATCTAAGGTTGTGTTTGGATTACTAATACATAATGGAATAAAATAGATTGACAGTGGAATACATTGGAGTGGAAAGGAATAAAAATGTCATTCCACTATTTGGATAACTTATAATAAAATGAAATAAATATTTTGTTCCGTCATTTGGAAAAAAAAATGGTGTAAATTATGATTTTTCAATTCTTATGTTATCTTTACTTTAACTTTTTTTCTATTATTTTCTTGATTATAAAAAATCAATGAGTTAATCAAAGAAATTATATATTATGCACACTATTATCCTATTGACCGGAAAACAAAATACATTTTTCTCTTCGAAATTGGATAAAAGTAAGTGTATTCTAGTAAAGGAAGCAACAAACATGCACAAATTTATGGTTGGATTAAGTGTGCACTCATATGGTTATATAATAATTTAAGTTTATATAATGAAATATCAAAAAATTTAAATTTTATAAGAAGAATTGTAAATTTAGTTTATTTAATAAGAACTTATAATTTAATGATTACATTTTTTATATTTAATGTATATAGTGAAAAAGTATTTATTACACAAATTTATTTTCATAATTATAAATAATGATTCATGACAATCACAAATTCTAATAATCATAATTTACATGAATGACTAAAATATGTTTTAATTGATCATACTTTTTTTAAAATATTTATAAATTATTAAAAATCAAAGAATTTTATTATATTAAATATGCAAATGAAGGTTATGCAATATTTTTACCTCTTGAAATTTTCATTTTAATTTAGGAATGTTAGTTTCCACCTTTTCACTTAAGAATAATTTCATAGAAAATTTCTATAAAAATTATTTTCAAGAAACAATACTTTCTAAAAATATTATTTTTTATTTAATCAACCAATGCAAACATGAAAATTAACATTCCTAATTTTATATTTTAAAAAAATTATATATATCAAATATCTCGTTATATAGAGTAACTTGTATTAATCTTCACCCATATATACATACATACACACACACACACACACATATATATATATATATATATATATAATTGGTTAATATTGTAAATATTTTTTGTCATCTTAAGTTCTCGTATTTGTTAATGTTCTTTATAACTATTAAGTAGGCATGACAAGGTGAGGTAGGTACAGTCGTACAGATTTAAATATATTTGTCTCTATCTTTATTCTCGCACTATGTATTTATTCTTGTCCCTATATTATACAAATATTCAATTTGTATTTCATCTTCATCTTCGTTAGGTGTCGAGTATATATGTACCCATCAAAAAATTAATTAAATTAATTACATATTTTATTTGTAAAAAAATAGAGTAACAATTATAAAATTATATCAATTAAAATTCTTTTGAAATAGATTAAAAATAAAATAAGAATTACATAAATGTCAAGTAAATTTTCAAATAAAAAATAAGTTTTTAAAAATTTAAAATAAATATAAGTACGTGTACATGTATAAAACGGATATGAATTAAACACTATCCATACTTGTTCCTATGTCCGATGAAACTCAGTATTTCTTGTTAAATTTTAGGACAAGTCCAAATATTATTTACAAGTACGAACAAATTTCTCATCTCTATTATTCAGACAAATTTTGTAAGTGTCCTTTGCTTAACTATATCAATGGAAATTACAACATACTTAAATTTGGGTTCTTTTCAATTCCCAAAATATACTATCATATGTAGTCTAGATAATTTTACCTATACATTGTGTATAGTAGTAAAAATTGAAATTAAAAATAAGTTATTAGTCACAACTATTTAAGATATATTTTATGTTTAACTATGAGGCCCTTTTTCCTTTTCTTTCACTATTCACTCCCCCTCACTCAACTCTTTTTTTTTCTCTCAAGCTCTCACGCCCTTTTCCCTTGGATCTTTCTTTGGCTGTTACAAGGTAATGGTGCTGAGTGATTTGGATTACTAGCTGGAGTGCGGATTTCTCTCTTCTTATTCCGTGTTCGTGCAAGCTCTCCTTCTTCTTCTTCCTTCGTTCTTCCTCCCGAAGCCCGGATTCTTGAGCTGAGGTAAGGGAAGCTAGTTTTCTTCGCTGTTTTTGGATGCCTTTGAGTTTGAGTAGCTCAATAATTGTTGAAGAGATTGATTCTTGGCTGTGATTGAAGGAAATTTTCGTTTTCGGGTTTCCGGGGTTTGGGTG